TATGAGGCTGCAAATCCCGACAGACTCGGTACGCAGGCGCGCATCCTTGGCAACGTTAAACTGTTAGCCGAATGCAAGGAGATCTCCGACGAGCTCTGCTGTATATGTGGAATATCTTCTTATCTTTTTGAGTTGCCTTCGTTTGTCGATATTTTCTGGGCAGAAATCAACGACATCATTGAGAGTCTCGGCATACACCGATTCCAGCCTGACAATCTGGTTTACCAATCCGATAAAGTTGATCAATGGCATATGCGAAAGACGCAGGAGAACATCGATCGCTTCGTGAACTACGTGACCTCGATTGTCAAATTGTCGTACCATGTCAACGTCGTTGAAGCTTCCCGAGAGGGAATTGCCGCGCTCAACAGGGTGAGAAGATTTAAATACAGTTGGGATTCCTCAGCGACAGTCAAAATACCGGAATCGTATTTACAACTTATCAATGAATTTGTTGAACAGCGAAACGCGCGAATGCAACAGACGTTGGGGAAGAGCAGGCAGTTTACTGTCGAGGAAGTACAAGCGTACAGCCCCTTTGAGACGAATGACGTGTCACTCGAAGAGCTCAAGGCCTCCGTTAATCTGGAAGGCGAAGATCCTCAAGATGTGTTGCAGTTTATCAATGTTGTACCTGTTATTGAGCTACCGGAGGAACAGCCCGCATTGGACGAGCCGATGGATGACGTTGCGACAGCCGACGTAAAAGTCGAGCCGAAGGTTGAGGAAACCGACGCGGACGTTGAGATGCCCGATAGCTATACAGGCGCAACCGACGAAGTACCTGGGCCTGATACTGGTATCGCAGGCGTAAATGCCTTGCCGACAGCACCAGAACCTGATCCACAGATGGCGAAGATCGAGGCCGAGGTTCTTGATGTTTTGGCTGATGATGAAACGACTGTTGAAGAAGGTGCAACCGGAGATGTTCCTATGATCCCTACGGACGCGGACCAACCCGCAGACGGTCAAGCGTCTTCATCTGACCCGAGACCACCATTGCCGCGATTGCGAGGCAAAGGGCAGGGACAAGGCACCCCTTCGGCCGCTCCCGTAACGGGGAGCTTTCTTGCACCTGAGAACAACGACAACCCCGACTTGAAATTTTCTGGAAAAGGGAAGGGCGTTCTCGTGCGCGAGACGAAGCCTAACCCCGAGTACAAAAATATGCAGGTCGAGGTTGAAGAGGTTCTCGGAAGGTATCCTTACCCGGATCACCTACTCAAGGCCATCGGGAATGGCAACATACAACTCCTCGAGGATGAGCTGGGCCGCGACGCCAAGCAGTACGTGCTGTACCATGTTACTGGCCATAGGTACTATTATATATATGAGGATTATCATCATGGGCCTTGGGAGTGGTGCTGCTCCTGGCCACCTCATGTTCGTCGCGGTATTTCTGGTCTTCTTCGTGGACACGTCCCAGACGTCAGTATTTATGATCCGGCGTGTTATTTGCCAATTTACAAACTACTAGATTTGGCGAAGGCCAAATTCCCTGATTATGCTGGTTCTATGAATGTTTTTGAGTTGATTTCGATGGCTATTTATGACCACAAAGATCGTTTCGAATTTCAATGCGTGTACGACTCTCGTGTGAACGAGCAGCTCGAACTTTTCGCCGCCCCCGTCAAGATCCGATGTGGACAAGGCCACACTGACGACGTTCTCGAGACGCGATCAAATGAAGTGCTAGCAGTACTAATCTACTGCCGTCCTGACCATGTACACAGGTACAATGCTCGTTTGACAGCGCACGGGAACTGCGATATACCACCTCGGCTTTACCACCGAACGCATGAAGGTGCTGCGCGATCCATTATTGCGAGCGGGCTCATTCCCGGCGGTGGAGCCGGTGGACCGAAAAGCAAAGGCAATTCCTTCTTTTCAACACAACCTCTGGGAAACCAGAAGGCGATATCTGGTGTTCGTGCTGACCGACCAGTGGAGATTTGTTTTTCAACACCGGATGTGATTGAAGCAGGAGTTGATCTTTTCCTCACAAATTCTGGCGCGGTGATTACCAGCCATCACGTCCCGAATACGTGTATTCTATTTGCAACTCGAGCCCGCGCAAATGCGGAGCCAGAAGTTTTCTATTCGAGGCCGCAGGCATTGGATCCTTCGAACATTGAGGTCGGTGTTCCGCAAGATGATGTGACATTGGTCCCGGGAAAAGTGTCGGAAGTACGCACCATTTTGGAAGGTACAAGCGACGCCACTCCCGAAGAACGCACAGCTAGCAGCAGTGCCGCAAAGAAGGAAGAGATGGAGGCAAATCGCAATACAGCTGTACCACAGATCGAGAGTGGATATTTTCTACATCTTCGAACTTTCAGCTGCGATAAATGTACGACACTTTCCTTAGCAGGAATGGCATCTTGTCATCGATGCGGAGTAGTATTTCAGAGCAATACAACAGATGGACCGATTTCAAAGTTTATGCGACTTCAGATGAGGCGTGCAAAGGTGCTACAAGAGCAGGGGGGCGTGCCCAAGAACATGACCGCAACAAGCATGCTTGACAGCATTGCCGCGCAGGACCTACAGTCTGGACGACCTCCAGCTCGTGGTAGCCCGTCAGTTGACAGTCAGATTATTCTTGCAGCTCGCGGCCGCCTTCGCAAAGCATTGAAATCAGGGTATGAGAATGTATTCGATCGATTCAACCGCGACGACGTCTTCGCTACCTCCTTAACCGGAGAAGGATGCACAACGTTTGATGCAGCACAAGAAGACTTGTTTGCGTCACTGCAATTACCGGCACCCACGAGATCAGCGAAGCAGAGATCAAAAGGGAAGTCGGTTGTCAGTGATTTGGATCGACTGGACAGGGTTGACCTCGCCAAGCTCGCGTATATTCGATGCGGTGTTGACAACCTACATACCTGTTTCAAGCAAGGCGTCGACGAGAACTTTCTGATCAGTTATCGCCGAGAGTTTATGTCACTCCGACAATACGCCGCCGTAATTGGCGATAGCCGAGATGAGATCAAGATCCAGGGCTTTATCCCCACGACGGACGTCTATGGCGATATTCATTCAATTCGTATTCCTCGTGGAGACACGACAGGCATTTACAAGATTTTGAGTGAGTTTGCAGAGCAGAATGAAAATTATGCAAACATTCAATATCAGAGAAACGCGCAACAGTCTGCAAGTGTGCAGGGACGCGATCGTGGACAGCCAGTTTCACAGATGGGCTTCATGAACATCGAACAGCGCATGGCCACGCCTTATCCCAAGTTTGCCGATTGTGGCCAGGACATGTCGTCTGACGAGATTCGACGGCTTGAAGAGATCTTGCTTGAGTTTGGGCAGCGTGGAGCACCATCTCCTCAAGGACCTGTAACAAGGCCCCCATTGACGCGGAAGCGATCGCAAATGTACATGGAGACTATTGGAGATGCAGACAAACGACCGAGGCTGCAGTGGAGGAGGAAAGAAGACCGAGATCAATCTGGTCGTATTGCAACTTGGGTTGACAACCGGACTCCACCGCCAGGCGTGCCTCAGCCGCCAGCTCCCGTAACAGGGACGCATACCTCGTCGGTATTCCGTATGAATGCACCTCCTGCTCAAGGACAAGTTTCAGGAAAGGGTGACTCCTCTAAACAGGATGTCGGTGAACGGAGAGATGTTTCTGGAAAGGGCAAAGGCCAAGGCAGTTCTTCGGCAGCAGGCTCAGCCGCTCCCGCAAAAGGGACGCCGCGTGGTTCTGTCGCCCGAGCAATTTCCCAGAGCCGTGTCCTTCCACCTAAACGTGGCAACATCCCCAAGGACCTCTTGGGTCCCCCAACTTCACCGCCACCGTTAACTGCACCCAACAACCCACCTGCAACTGGCCTGTCACCAATCTCCAAGCCACGTCCAGCCAAACCTTCACCTCCGAAGGTCCCACCACCAAAGGTGCCTCCTCCAAAGGTTCCTCCACCGAAAGTGCCACCCAATACAGCCAGTGGCATTCCGGTACATACAAGGCCGACAGATTTCAATCTCACGCCGAAGCCGCCGCCGCTTACAGACCTTTACAGTCGGTTGCAACCTTCCGTAAAAGGAAAGGGCAAGGATAAGCAGCAGGTGAGTGTTCGAGGAGGACCTTATGCTCCACAGCAATGGAATGTACAAAACGTGCCACCGCCGCCATTGCCACCCGGAACTTCATCCGCTTCGGCATCATCGTCACATAATGCACCCTTAACTGGGCCGCCGACTTCCCGCATTCGTGGAACTATTGATCGACCATTGGAACCCTTTGATTTTCCTGGAGTACAATGGCAACGCGATGACCCATGGGGCGAGAACTATTGGCCCAATCACATGGAATTGTGGGAGTGGTTGAGGCAGGGATGGCATGACGAGACGGAGCGTTTTGGAATACAATTTCTTTAAGCAGATGTTGAATAGCTACCATAAATGGTATGCCTTGCAGCTTATGAGTGTTGAGATAAAGATCACCTTCTGACGCGCTGTGAGATGATGTTTCACTTCATTGTCTCACTTCCCAATGCATCCATAACAGGATTGCCATAGTCGGAGAGTGAACTTTTAATCAATGCTTAACACTAACCTGGGCCTAGCATGTTTAACCACATGCCGAGTGAGGCGAAAACTGTACATTAGGGTAGCTACGTTCTCCTTGTATAGTGCATGCACGAGCTTGATGAGGGATTTCTAATATGATTCCTTCGTCGCTAGAATTTGATCCTCCCCGAGATTTTCCCTACGGGTAGCTCCTTGTAAAGGGGGGTGTTGAAATTCACCTCATCCCCATGGACCCCGTAGCGTTGACTCTCAAGGTAGAGCAAAAGGTAGCGCTTACCGGGCTAGCAGGGTTAGCTAGGTAGTTAGTACTATTAGAGCTGATCCTGTAAAATACAGTTACTATAGGCGTTTTCTATCGTTCTTGTTCTTCATGTTGTTTCCATTCACAACATCGGTGGACTCGTTGGACTCCACTCGTTGGACTGGTGTGTCCTTGCAGCAGCTGTGGCGCTCAGGGACTCTTGACCCAGCTTGGCACCACCTTAGATCAGATCCTCGAGGCCCGATGCGTCACCGTGGGTGGCGCCACGCCACCCCACGCACCACAAGATGTGTTGGGGTGGTGGGGCGAGTTGCAGGCTGGGTGATGGTTTCAGATACTTTGATGTTCAAATGTTCAACCTCTACTTGGGATTTTTTGAACCCACTGACACATATTACATTGATGTCTCGATGTTTCGTCACCAATCACGGCCCGTGACCCCAAACAGTGACGTTTTTCTCGGGCGGCGAACCGTTCGCGCATCGGCGATCGGAAAAGAGAACTCCACCGTTCGTGCCTTCGAGGCTTTCCGAACAGGGACCCTTAGTCCGCACTTGTATACAGAAACAATAGCTATACAGTGTTTTCAGAGTAGATGGCACAGACCTCAAGATGTCCTTTGCATGGGGGTTCATATAAACCACCTCTTGGGATCTGTGCCATTTACTCTCAATCCACTGATCGAACCGCGATGAACCACGGATGGCTGGACCTCTCTTGTTGATCAGCATATACCGATGACCTCTGTCATTCTGCAGGAGATTGGTGGAGCAGAGTATGGAGGCACAGGAACTCCCTATCAGGCTGGTTGGAGTGGCACTGTGGGGACCGTTGTTGCCCTCACTCCCATGATTGCCACAAGTTTGAGGGATCATGATGATCCATGTTTTGGCTGTTTCAGTTGTTCCTTCGGGCTATAGCTACGAGGCATTGCCAGGCTGAAAGTGTCGTATCATGTCGTATCAATTGTTAATTGTACATAACTAGGCGTATACAATGCGCAATGGTTAAATTGATGATTAATTGATTTTGCTGTTAATTGTAGTTTAATGTCATTATTTTACACCTTTATACATATTTGTTCAGAATGTTTTTTATGGTCCATTGAGTTCTCGCACTCAATGTTTTCCATTCAGAGTGACCAGCAGACCGAACAGGAAAGAACCTGCGTTGCGTGTGCATCGCCTTCGAAGTCGCATCACTTCGGGCGAAATCCGATGACAGTGTTGGAGATGGTGTGACATGTTGAAACTCACGAAAGTGGTGGTGGAGACAAGCCATTTGTGCCTGGTAACATGTGCGGAGTGCTCGCACTGGCCTATGAAGATTCGCAAGAAGAATCAATATCATCCATCCTACAGTGCAAGGAAGGGGCAACGGTTGTGTATTTGTATAAGAGAGGGAACGACCACTAGATGATTTGGATGGGTTTGCAGGAAGGGGAACGACCACTATAATTGGATGATTTATATAGATGGGATTGCACCCCGCAAACACCCCAACGTGACCAGAATGACCAGAACACTCGATACCACCCCAAAGGGAGAGAAGAAGGACGAGAGAAAAGGAGAGAGAGAGAGAGAGACCGTCCTCATTGGAGTCATCCATCGATTGCTGGGTTCCCACAGTATCCTTCGTTCTTCTTCGACCTCGACTTCTCACAGCGTGGCATACTTGCGATGGTGCAAGGCAGACATGGTGGAAAAGTGCTTGAAGAGTCGCTGCCCCAGATGGGCCGGAAGGTGCGTGTGTGTGGACCGGATGGATCAGGACGATCCGACGGAGCAGATCCGAAGGCTCCGCGTATCTGATGATGGACTCGGTTTCCGGAGGCTCTCGCCGGTTTCGGCCTTTTTTGGGGTGTGGGATGGGGTCCATTTTTGGGGGTGCTGATTTGGATGGATCAGATATCAATGGCGCGAACCCAGCGGCGCTCAGAACACTGTATTAGGAAGCTGTTTCAAGACTTCTGGGGCGCTGATGTTTGACGCTTGACGCTGATTCCGAGGCGCAGATCAAGCACAGGAAATCATCGGACAGGTGGAGGTGCGATCAGTGGATGTCGCACACAGGGGTGGTCGAGTTACACCAAGCTCAAAACTCAGTAAACACATTGTTACTGAACTCAGCTATCGAAAAACATAGAGCAATAACAATGTTCAACTGAACAGCTGAATAACTCAGTTAAACTCGGTAAATATGAGAGCTGAACTTTGTTATTCGACATTTAGGCAGTGACGGCGACTATTGAATTGCTAGTTCTCCCCTAGCGCTTGCGATGCCTTCTGCTAGGGAAGTGTGAGGTCATTGGGATACACACTGCTTGGGTTTGGGAGTGAGGCAGCCAGAATATGCGATCCACAGTGCAAATGGTAATAAGCAAGGATGGGCTACATGGCTCACTTAGCATACTGTAGTATTTTACCCAAGCGCTAAATAAACACTTGTGCTTCTCGTACCACCTGTACTTCACCGTGTTTGGTTTATGATCCGCATGAATGACTCCTCCTATAGGACCTGTATAGGACGGTTTTGACGGAACCAGAACTCCTGTCAGCTCGTCCTTCCGGCGGCCTCGGTGCAGACTGCCGCCACGGCGCTGGCCACGCCAGGAGATGATGCTGCCGGCAGGTTTTACCTCCAAGGCGCACGGTGACACGCCGGTTGGCCCGGACGTGCAGGTGGCCACCGCAGTGGCACGGAGATGATGGGGACCACCAGAGTGAAGTTGTTTGATGTTATTTGCAGATCCAAGAGTTTCATTGATGTGTGCGGATCATGAGTTTCTCATGCCGGCGGGAGCGATTCTGTGATTACTCTAGATACTCTTAGGGGATCAGATCTTGGGCTCTGACATTTGTCGTGCGGGTGGGACTCGTGGAGAGATGGCTCCGATGCGTTGGCCGTCCGAAGCACGAGCGACGTGGCGAATGCAGCATTTGGGCTCCAAGAAGACCGGTCGTGGCGTGAGAGATGGGGGCTTTGCCACTTGGAATGCACTGGGCCATGGCATCGCTGGGTCCGATGATGGCTCATTTGGCACCAAACCGCCGAAAAGGATCAGGTCCACTTGTGCCATGTGTCCAACAGGGAGCGCACACTTTGGTATGGAGTCACCCATCTCAATCTGCAGTTAAGTCTGGGCGCATCTCAGGATTCCCACATTCTTTTGACATAGCAGATCTTTGAGGATCTCTGTAATTTACCAACATCCATCATCCATCAACATCCCAAGATGTCCCTCAGCAACACTGAGGTGTCAACGCGAGACGAAAGTGACGTGCCCCGATGGGCTGCAACCAGTGGGCGGCTTCTGTGGTGGGCTGAGGCACCTTGGTCAGCGCTTCTGGGTCGACTGCGAGCAGGATCCGTGTCGGCAATGTCACCTCGATGTCGGCGTTGCACTGCAGAAAGAAACGGATAGTAGTAGCGTCCGAACGCTCCCTTCGTAGCGATGCCCTTTGTTCCTAGTAGCAAACATTGCTCTTAGTAGGCAGTTGATCGTTCTTGTTTTTAATGTAGTGTTTTTAGATTAGCACATGAGGACAATCATGTGTGCACTGACCACCTTGAGGACATTAACAGCTTGTTAAATTATGTTAAATTCACCAAGCTGGCGGAGCCGTCTCAGACGCAGGGGGAGCCCACCCATGGCCGCCTTACGCAGGGTAACCATTGGTGGTCACGGGTGGGGTGTCACTGCCCGGCAGCCTGGAGTTGGTGGAACATTTTCGATGGCTGATAAGCAACATGTTCCCCCTACCAGAATGGATTTGCATTTTGATAACCTTTGTATTTGGGGTGGTGTGTGGGTGTTGGCTACAACCACTGGACCAAAATTGCCGCTGCTGCAGCAAACCTGTTTCAGTCCGTCTTCGATGACCGGCGTCGGACGCTCGGCCCAGGCGTGACTACGGAAAACGCTTCAGTTGCGCGCACCTCAAGTCCGATTGGCTTTCAGATGTCGTCACAGCCAAGACCATCTCAGGCATGTCGTCATCTCCGTCGATTGAGCCCGGCAGATTCTTTCACTTTCGGTTCTTTTTCCAAAATGGTGACTGCTTCCAAACCGTTTCAGTATATAGTTACCCTGTCCCCCCTTCCGAAGACGAGTTACGCCTTCTCGTGCGAACGGGTTATGCCATTGTTTCGCCACCGAGTCGGTGGAAGACCGGAGGATTCGGTCGGGGCAGATCCGCACAAGGAGACGACCTCCAAGATGTTCATGCGGGACTTCACCAATTGGTTTTCTTCATACCTAATGATGAGTCACTACTACAATGACTCCAACGTAGTCAATTTCCAGAGGTTTGGCAGACCCGTCGCATTTGGATCCATCGGGTGTGTCAGAAGGGAGGAGAAGAAACGCACAGTGAAACTGACAGGATTGAGGCCCCACAACGGACTTCAATATGTCTTATACTTCTAGGTGTAGTGTAGAGGGTGTTGCGTTTTTGCCAGTGCTTCCCAACAGCAGGTGCCAGAGTCGTACAAGCTCTATCAACCTCTTTGGTTTGAGCACCCCACTTTGAACTGCTTTGGTTCGCAGGATGACGTGAACATATCCTGGCATGTGGTTGTTTTGTTTTTTTCTGCGCAGTGTTTGTCTATGTTGGTTCTTCGGTCGTGGTGGCAGAGATGCTGCAGAGAGAGAGAGAGAGTAGAAGCATGCATGTTTGCACATTTTTGGACCAAGCGGAGGGGTTAAGAGCAAGTCATTCAGAGCACAAACATAATACGAGTGGGAGAGACATGCGATGGAGGGAGAGTAAATGATGTAAGTGACAGAGCGGAGCACAGAGTAGAGGAGAGTCGGAGTATAGAGAGAATATAGAAACTCGAGATAGAGCAAGAGAAAGAGCGATTGGGTATGATTGGGGGCGTGACTTGAGGATCATTAAATGTTGTCCATCCTTACGAAGGACTGGGCAAAAGCCACCCCTGTGCAGCGCACCTTTAACCGTGAGCGTTTCGGGGTCACAGCCGTTGGTGGCGAGGCGCACTCTTCTTGTTCTTCGCCACGTTTACCTCCACCATTGCGCTGGGGAAGCACATCAATGACGTGACCCATGGAGCCAACCGACAGCTGCAGACAGCGACGGTCTCTCTCACACACACACTCTCTCTCTCTGTTTGTCTCTGTTTCTCTCTAACAAGACCCAAGTTGATCCCATTAAGATCCATTATTAAGTGATCATGTTGATGAAGTCGGCAAGTGCCTGAGGTCATTGGCATCAACGAATACCTCATCATGAACAGCTGCTGGTTTGCATGGTCATAGGCATCATGAGCAGCAGTGGCCTTTGTGAAATTCCAAGTCCAAGGGCGTTGGCGGCACTGCTGGGGTAGTAAGCTTTTCGCTTCAGACACCAAAGGAGATAAAGAGATTGCAGTTGAGCTCCAGTAACTCTTTTGCGTATTGCTTGTCTCCTGCTGGCTGGAATTTCAGGTCGAGAGCTTGGAGGAAAGAAATCGTTATGTTTCAGCGGAAGTCGGTTCAAAAGATCCGACAGCGCGACTGGTCATTTGCCACCAGAACTGGGACAAAGCAAACCACACATGTTGGGTTCTCAAGCTCTACATTAGGAGGGCTTTCTATTTTGAGAGCTCTTCAACAGGGACCTGGGGTGCCCAGCAACCCATTTGGGCCCTTGTCCTGTGCAAGTGGCGCCTCCGGCTTTCCCTGAGGCTTTTCCGGAATGCTTCATTCGGCGCCTGGGTGTGAGAGTTGCCGAGTCCGCCGAAGAACTTCGGTCCGCGAAACAGGTGGCTGCCACGGGAACGGAATCCAAACCAACAGCTGTTGAACTATGATTGACGTCGTGGTCAGGATGCTTTGACCAGGAGCATTTGGACGATCCGTGGACGTGTTCATCAGGTTCATCCCTCACCCATCCTCACACCTATAAAAACCAAAAATGATCCAAAAAATCAGCAGTTTCTGGGATCGGAGGAATGATTCGTCCGGATTCGTTTGCCGAGGTCATCGGCACGCAGCCGCTCTTGGTCTTGCGGCCCACAGGGCCCATCACCTTGCTATTGGAGAAGCTCCACGAAGCCAGCGCCACCCGAAAAACGCCCCGGTCGTCGCGGTGCGGCTCGCGGGCCCACGTGGAGGGGAGGTGACGTCTTTGGTATTGGAGTGAGTTGTGTTGTCCTTGTTGGGGGATGGGACGGGGATTCTTACCGGAGGAGCCTGCCATGGTTCTTGGCTTTGGGATGATGAGAGTGGGGTAGAATGTCCAGCGTGTCCTTTGTGAAAGGAATTTGATTTTCCAAGGTCGCCGAGAAATGAACATGGCGTGTTGATGGTGTTGCGACGTTGGTCACAGTTCTCGAAAAATTTTGCAGGGGTTGGGTCTGTGTTTGCAATTGGAAGTCTAATCTTTCGAATCGGCTTTCGATTCTCGCTGTTCTGTTTTTTCGGGGGGGAAGAATGGGTGTATATATGCATGCTATGTTCCATCATGTCCTGTTTCGGAGATAGCCGCTACTTATGATTTGCATGATGTGGCCGCGGCCCGTGTGTTTTTGTTGTTGTCACTAAACTGAAAGGTTGCCCTTCCCAGCTCCAATCTCAATTCCCAGGCTCGATGTCCCCATGGCCGAACACCACAAGAATCCACAAGACACACAAATGAACGGCAGACTCCAGTGTTCGTTGCTCTTGAGGTATGAATGTTCGTTGTTTTGTGTTGTTTGCAGGTATTCCTATACTTGGGATGATTGAGCCCACTGACCAACATTTCTCAAGCGAGTTGAAAGCACCAACCAGCAGCATGTCAGCATGTCGTGTGTCCTTGTGAGGTTGGATCACGTCACACCAGCAAAGTCCTCACCAAGCAGAGAGCTCACAGCAGTACCACTACGACCGGTTTCTGCGTCCTCGCGCCCAAGGAGTGGCTGTCGTTGCCCTTTTGGCCCTTGCTCGCATGGACCGGAATCTTTGTCGGCTCCTGGGCCGCAAAACTGGCATCCTTGCGTCCCTTGGGCTGGGACGCCCTGAAGGATTTGGCATTTCCCGGGTGGGCATGGGACTAGCTCGGAAGCTAGCAGTCTTTGTTTGATTTTTGGGGGAGCTGTTTTTTCTCTCCCTGACCCCAAAGCACCAACCTGCAACATTCTGCCCTGAATGTGCAAATGAGACTCCAATTGGGAGATTGCAAATGGTAAAAAATGCCTGTTGATGTGTTCTTTGCCTGGGGCCCTGCATATACCTTTTCAGCTTCTCAGTGCATGGTGTTGCTCTCAGTTTGTCACACGCTCCCCAACAAACCTGGGAGGGGAGCTTTTGAACGTGTGTTCAGGTGAGCGTCAACGAGTTCTAGTTCTGGCTGGCAAGGGCGAATGAACAAACATTTTTGATCTTTTGGGAAGTGGCTAAACAAGTTTGAACAAAAACCTATATAGTTTAAACCGTTTAAACCAGCACCTTGCCCCGCCCTGCTGATCTTGGGCCACCAAGATCAATCAATTTAGAAGCGATGAGATGGCCCTTGGAGGCGTTGTACCGTTCCACGACCTTGGTGTCATGGGTTTGAAAATGGCAACATTACCAGCCCAGGTGTGTACATGTTCTTGATTGCGGCCTTCGAAGTGAGTACCTACATCAAGTACGCACCTTGGCAGCACGTGCAAAAGAAGA